CGCCTCGCCACCTGCCCGCCTCGACTGCCTATTTTTCTCCCTCTTCTTCTCTCTCTCTCTCTCTCTCCACCTGGTGTGTGGCGGCTGTAGAGGCGCCGCGCGTGTTCGCTTGCACATATCGACTCCAGAGGGGACCCAAGGGCTTGTCTCTGCCCGGCATTCCGTGTGTGTGTGCCTTGAATTTTTGATGGGTGTGCTCTCGTTCGCTGCCGCCCCTCCTCTCCTGCATTAGACGAGCGAAAGAAGCCGCCCCCCCTCCTCCCTCCCCCCTCTTTCGGCTCTCTCCCTCCCCCCTCCCTGCCCTTCTCCTCTCCTCGAGACTTTCCTCCTCTGGAGCTTGCGTGCCGATGGGCCTGCCTCCGCTCCCACTGGTCAGACCCTGCATTCTCTCGTTTTCTCCCCTCCTCCCCCTTGCTTCGCACCTCCCCTGAGCTCCTCGCTCCCGCTCTCTTCCCCCCTCCCGATGGTGAACCAGGCTGCCAGTGGCTCAGCCGGCGGTAGGGTGCCACGTGGCGTCCAACAGACCGGGCGTACACAGGCGCACGGCGGCGGCGGCGGCGGCGGCAACGGTGGTAGCGGCGGCGGCGGCGGCGGCAGCAGCGGCGGCGGCGGCGGAGGAGGAGGAGGCAGCGGCGGCGGCGGTCCTTCCAGTCGCCAGAGCACAAGTGCCTTTTCTGGTGGCTCCGCGCCTGCCGGCCACCTGGCGCGCCCTGGCAGCAGCAGTAGCAGCAGCAGCAGCAGCAGCAGCAACAGCAGCTCCGGTAGCAGCAGCGGCAGCACCCACGCCGGCGGTCTATCTCATCGCGGCAGCAACTGCAGTCCCCTTCCCGGCGGTGCCCAGGCTTCCGGCCCCACCTCCGGCACTTCCTCCAATCGATCCGGGGTCGGAACCGCCCGGTCGCCTGGCCTTCCTGCTCAGTACCATCGAGCCGGCGGCCATGGCGGCGGGCCCGGCAGCGGCTCCGGCCCATGCTCGGACACCGATTATCTGAACTTTGTCGCGCCGAGGCCGGCGCTGCCGGCTGCCTCCGGCACACCGGGCGCTGGCACCTTTGCCGGTATCCCCCCGGTGGCCGTTCCCTTGGGCCAGCATCCGCAGCATCCGCAGCACCACTCGCACATGGCTCCCCTGGTGGGTGGCCCCTCGCGATCCGGAGGAGGCGCGGGCCATTCTCACCATCATCCCCATCATGCTCCCTTCTCGCACTCAGCTCCAAACCCCTCGGGCCGGAATGCCCCCGCGAGTGGGCCTGGTGCCGGTGCCTTTTCTCGCGCCACCGGAGCTCCTCCGGGTTTCACCACTGGCACTGGCGGTGGCGGTGGCGGTGGCGGTGGTAGTGCCGTTCCGCTGCTGGCTCCGCCAGGGCCTGGCCAGCCTGGCGCCGATGTCGGAGGCACCGGAGGCAGCCAATACCACCCCCCGCTGGGGGACGTCTTCCCCCGGGGCCCCTCTTCGCAACAGTGTACGTGCCTCTCTCCCCCTCCCCGTCTCCCCCCCCCCTCTCTCTCTCTCCCACTCTCTCTGCCCATCATTTGTGGCTGTCCATTCCTCGACCACCCCCTCATGGGTCCCGCTCTCCTGCCTCTGCTCCCGAACACCGGGTCCTGACCTGTGGCCTTCCACACAGCCGCGCACCAGCGCCACCACCATGGCAAGTCCTCCGGGCCTGGCCACCCATCCCCCAGTGGACACCATGTCCCCGGGGGCGGGGCCCCCTCGCATGGCCCCAAGCGCCGGAACCTCCGCCGTCAGCAGTCTTCTCTCTCATCGGCCGCGCCCGGCGGGGGATCACATGCGCATGCCGGCTTCCCGCAAACCGGTGGTCCATTGGCGTCCACGACCTTGTCCCATGTTTCTCCTTCGGCCAGTGATCGTTCTCGCGGCGGCGGCGGCGGCGGCGGCGGCGGCAGCAACAATCCCAACTCCTCGAAGGGCCGCTCGGCCGGAGGGCGCGACCATGCGTCGCAGGGTGGCGGGAACCACGGTGCCGGCTTCCGGTCCGGGCGTGGGGCTGCCGCCCCCGGTGGGGCATCGAGTCGCGCTTCCTCGACCGGTCGTCAGCCCTATGGCGGCGGCGGCGGCGGCGGCGGCGGCGGGGGTCATCCCGCCCCCTCAGCCTCGACCGCGCATCCGGGCTCGCAGCTCGGTCAGACAACTGCCACCGTCGATGCAGGCTCCTCCGCCGCAGCACTGGTGGCCTTCCATCCTACTCAAACTGCCCGGCCCACGGCGGCCCTCGGCGGTTCACTTCCACATGTGGTCCTCCGAGAACGGGCCGATCTGGCCGGCTCGCTGTCGCGTTCAGGCACTTCACCGATCACCCCGGCCCAAGATCCCTCCGGCCGGGAGGCCACGCCATCGCCTTCCTGCTCAAACATGACCGCTCCGGCCGCCATCGCCACCACCACCGCCGCCGCCATGGCCAGCGTCGCATCCGCCTCATCTCATCGGCAGCCAGCAGCTCTCCCGGGCCCGGTGGCATCGGTGCATCGTCCTGCCGCCCTCTCGGCGGTGGATGACCTCGGGGATTTGACGATGGGCGTGGGCTCCGCCGCGACCGCCGGTCCCTCATCCATGGGCCAGTCACATTCGGCGACGGGCACCCCGGCGCTGGCCGTGCCGGCTGCCGTGTCCCGTACTGCATCCCCCGGCTCCTTTCCTTCCTCTTCCACTTCCCCGGGCGTCGGTGGGGCTTCATCGGCGAGCTCGATGGCTGCTACGTCAGTAGCTCCCACCACCATCGCCACCACCACCACCACCACCACCGCCGCCGCCGCCGCCACGGCATCCATTTCCAGTGCCACCGCACCATCAGCAGCAGCCGGAGCAGCACCAACTTCAACGGCGCCAGCCTCAGCAGCATCAGCCTCCTCATCCTCATCAGCGTCAGCGGCGGCGGCGTCAGCGGCAGCGGCGGCAGCAGCCGCCTCTTCCAACTCCTCCTCCTCATTTACGTCCCTCAGCACTCGGTTCTCCTCACCGGCCAAGCTGAGCGGGAATGTGCACAGCCTATACAAGGACCAGAATGGCTGTCGCTTCCTTCAGAAGATCCTCGAGGATGAGGTCCTCTCCGTGACCTCGACCAATGACACTGCCGGCGCGTCTGCCTCCGGCCCCTCCGCTTCGCCTCCGGACGATGGGGCCCATGGCGGGCTCGATGGGGCTGCCAGCGGCGCCGGGAGCTTCCTCGACGTGATCTTCGAGGAGGTGTTCGGGTCCATCCTGGAACTCATGAGCGACCCCTTCGGGAACTACCTGTGCCAGAAGCTCTTCCAATTTTGCTCGCCCACTCAGCGCACTGAGCTCGTTCGTCAGGCCGCCCCGGGCTTGGTGACGGTCTCCCTCAATATGCACGGGACACGCTCGGTTCAGCGGCTGATCAACCATCTGGATAACGACGAGCAGGTGCGCACGCAGGCACCCCTGCCTTCCCTCGCCTGCCTTCTCCCCTGCTCGAATCGTTGTGGCATCCTCTCTTGGTGTGCACCGCACCCCCCCCCCCCTCTCTCTCTCTCTGACTCTCCATCATGCAGATGCAACTGGTTATCGCGGCCCTCAGCGACAGCGTGGTCCCCCTGATCCAAGACCTGAATGGGAACCACGTCATCCAGCGCTGTCTGGAATGCCTTCCCTCGCCGCAGAATCAGTTCATCTACGACGCCGTGACCTCCAACTGCATGGCGGTCGCCTCGCATCGCCATGGCTGCTGCGTCCTCCAGCGGTGCATTGACTCTGCTAGCCCCAGCCAGCTCGTGCGTTGCCCATCGCCGGGCGGTGCCAGGGAGGAGGGCTCTCCTCCTCGCATGCCCCTCTCTTCCCTGCTTTTGCTCGCGTGCCGAGGGCCCCTTGCCCACTCGATTTCCACTGCCCTTTTCTTGCCTCGCTCGGTCCCGCATATACTTACCTCCTCCTCTCCCCCCCCCCCCCCCGTTGCTTCGGTTTCCCCGCAGGCCCAATTGGCGGAAAAGATTGTCGAAAATGCCCTCCCCCTGGTCAAGGACCCCTACGGGAACTATGTTGTGTCGTACATTCTGTGCCCGGAATCGCCGAAGCGCATCCCCCAGCCGCGTGGCCCTGGCGGCGGGCCGCCCCCCTCGCAGATGGACCTGGATTTCCACGCGGACCTGCCTCCGGCGGCATCCATGCTCAATGCCAACTCCCCGGCCATGGACCCGGTCTTCCGCCGGAACATGATCAACACCCTGTCGCGCATCTACGTGGACCACTTCATCACGCTGTCCTGCCAGAAGTTCAGCTCAAATGTCATCGAGGAGTGCGTGCGCCGGTGTGAGCCGGCCATCCAGCGGCACTTCATCAGCTTCCTCACGGACGTCAAGTGCCTGCAGAAGCTCATCGAGGACCAATTCGGCAACTATGTGCTGCAGACGTGCCTCGATGTGGCGGCTCCGGACCAGCGCCGGGAGGTGGCCGAGCGCATTCGCAGTCTCCAGCCCAACATCCGGCACTTGCCCTACTTCAAGCGCTTCCAATCCAAGGTGGCCACCATTTTGGACTCGCTGCTGGCAGCCGATGCGGCAGCGGCGGCCGCCACAGCGGCGGCCCTCCCGCCGGCAGCCGCCGCATCGACCGGGGCAATTGCGCTGGCCACTGCTGCGCCTGCCGGCGTCCCGACGACCCGCCGGTCGAAGGGGCTCCCCTCGCCAATGGTGACGGCCAGCTCGTCGCCCGCCTCGGCATCCGCCTCCTTGGAGCACCTTGGCTCGGATTCCGACCGGCTGCTGTCCACCCGATCGCTGGGGTCCTCCTCATCCGAGGAGCTGGGCGGTGATGGGACCACGCCGGTGTCCAGCTCCGAGGCTCTTACGCCGGCCGGCGTGACATCGGTCCAGACCCCGGGCATCGACTCGGCATCCTTGGGCCCGGTATCAGCCCTGACTCTTCCCGGGGATTCGTTGCCGGCGGGGATGCTGGCAATTGGCGCGGGGCCAAGCACTGCCATGGCTACCCTGACCAATGGCCAGGATGCCGTGGCTTTGTCAATCCCCACATCGCCGTCGCTTCCTGGGAGTTCCTACGACCGGAATGATCCCTCGGCCCCGCGGTCGGCCATCCTCGCGGCCCCGGCCACGGCACTGCCCTCATCGTTTGCCTTTTCGACGACGGCCGCCGGGTCGGTGGCCGGGGACTTTTCGTCGTCCCCGGTGACCCGGACCGCCGGGCTGCCTCGTGGATCTGCGCCCGGCGCTTTGGGCGACCGGGCCATGGCCGCCATGGCCGATGATTTCCATCACTCCTCTCGCCACCAGTCGGCAGGGGGATTCCTCTCCGCGCCGGCCTTCGCACCCGGGGCCATTGTCGATTCCATGACCTCGGGCAGCGGGGGACACTACTCGCATCATCACCATCATCATCATGAGCAGCACGCGTCGTATCAGCCCGCCGGGGCGCACTCGCACCCTTCGCATCACCATGTCGGCCATCAGCAGCAGCAGCAGCAGCAGCAACAGCAGGCGGCCGCGGCGGGGCATCGCTCGGCCTCACGCCAGGCGCCCTCTCACCACTCCTACCAGCCTCCTCACCCGTCGGCTCCGGTGCCGGCGCCGACGTCGGCCACCGGGCTGTCACCTCACCATCACTCCTCCCAGCACCCTGCCAGCCAGCACACATACCAGCCATCGCAAACCGCGCACATGCGCAGCCACTCGGCCCTGGGGATTGAGCTTGGCGCGCATCACCACCACCATCACCACCACCACCATGCCCACCAGCAGCAGTCGCATGGGCTGCTGTCTGGCGGTGTGCCCGGGGCCGCTCTCAGCCAGCGCATCCAATCCCTGTCGCTGTCCGGCATGAGCCCCTTCCCTGGGCCGGGTGGTAGCAGCTCTTCGGCGGCGGCAGCGGTAGCCGCGGCGACGGCCGCGGCCGCGGCCGCGGCCGCCGTGCCCTCCTTTTCCCCCTCCTCGGTCCTCCTGTCGCCGATTTCCTCGCTGGCGGCCGCCGGGTCGACCGGGGCACTGCCCATTTCCGCCTCGGCTCCGGCCTCGGCTGTTGGCTCGAAGTCCACTTCCCCTTCGAGCTCCTTCTCCTCGCCGGCCTTGCTGGCTCTCGGGGTGGACCCCATGGTGGCGGGTGGGCATTTGCCACCGCCTCTGGGTCGCTCCGGGATCGGGCTCACCTCGGACTCTGCCGGTGGCATTCCTCCGACCGGGGGGGCCATGTCGGCCGGGGCCCGGCCCATGTCGGCCGGCGCGTCTGCCAGTGGTGGGTCTGCCTCGGGCTCGGACTTGCACTTGTCCTTCGGGAAGTTGTCCTTGGATGCGCTGTCGCCCTTGTCGCCTCCCTCCTCGTCTTCGTCCTCCATCGGCGGTAGTGGCGGCGTCTCGGGCGTTGCTTCCTTGGACATGCTCAATGGGGCTGGCGGCGGGGGCAGCACGGGTGGCAGCAGCAGCAGCAGCAGCAGCAGCAGCAGCAGCGCCGTCGGCGGCGGCCACATGGCCACCAGCCAGGTTTCCTACTTCGGCCACCCCCACCAGCACCACACTTCGCCGGCTCATTATCATCATCATCATCACCATGGCCATTCGGCGGTCGGGCTGATGTCTGGCGCTGGCTCCTTCCAGCATTACTCGCATGTTGGGGCACACGAGGGGTACTTTGATGTACTTGGTGGGCCTGGTGGGACCTCATCGTCGGCGGCTGCTGCGGCTGCTGCGGCTGCTGCCGCTGCTGCTGCGGCGGCGGCAGCATCCACCACCACCACCACCACATCGGCCTCTGCTCCCGGCGCGCTCTTCCACAGCTCCGGACTGCCAGCCCTTCAGACAGTCGGTGCCCCGGGGTCGCGTCCTCACGATCACTCTCTTCATTTGTATCATCATCATCAGCAACACCACACCCAGCAGCAGCATCAACAGCAGCAGCAGCAGCAGCAGCAGCAGCAGCAGCAGCAGCCACAGTCGGCACCAGGATCCTATCATCCCCACCACCTCCACTATCCCCATCTCCATTCGCAGGGCACCTCGGCCACCGGTCTTTCGCATGTCTTCAGCGTGGCACCCGTCACCGGGGAGACTTCTTCTCGGCGGGGCTCCTCCCCGGAGTTGCGTCCGCAGGCCTCCACCACGGCGAGCCACCACCACCACCATCACCTGCCACCATCCCATCACCCTCATTATCCGCACTCTTTGCATACGTATGCCAGCGCGGCCGATCTGGCCGGGACCAATACGGCTCCCTCTTCGCCGGCTGGCGGGCTGTCTCTCAGCCCGGATGGCATGGGCTCGATGTCGGCGGCTGCGGCGGCCACGGCGGCTGCGGCGGCTGCGGCAACCGCCAACAGCGGCAACAGCAGCAGCAGCAGCAGCGCCAGCAACAACAGCAACAACGGCAGCAGCAGCCGGAGCGGCGGCAGCAGCCCTGTGCATCTGCTCGCATCCATGCGGCAGCCCGGCACCGGAGGTGGGGATTCCCCTGCCTCCGTGGGATCTGCCTCGGACCTTGAGAGCTCGGCCACGGCCCCGGTATCGTTGCCTCTGGGCGGAGGCGGCAGCCTCCATGAGGACCAACGTCGGCTCCCGACCGATGGGGCTGCCGCATTTGGCGAGTCGCTGGGGTTGTCCGGTTCACCGATGACAAGCACGTCGGGGTTCCTGACGGCCGCGGCGGCTGCCAGTTCCAGCGGCAGCAATGGTGCCCTCACCTCTTCCTCGTCGTTGGTTCGCTCGCACTCAACCCCCTCATCGCTGGCTCTCTCGCACCCGGCGGTTCTGGGAAGCGCCAGCGCCGATCTTTCGGCTGCCGGAGCCGGCGGCGCCACCGGAAATGTGTCTCCACTGGCCAGTTCGCCTCCGGTCCCCTGGTCACTGGGTGGCTCAATCGGCGCCGACTTCAAGGCAACGTCGGATCTTGCGTCGACAGTCAGCCAGGCCGCGGCCCTGCATCATCATCCCCACCTGACTGGTTCGTTTCATGCTACTGCTGCTGTTGCTGTGTGTGTGTGTCTGGGGGGGGGGGAGGGCACAGCCAGTCGGCGGTCTTTTCCAAGCTCATGCCCCATCGCACTTTGTGTTTGGGAATGTGGTTGTCTCCTTCTCTGACGTTTTCCTCCTCTTCCGCTTTCGTTCTTCATCTCATTTTAAACACCCCGCACAGACTACCACCTGCGGCAGCACATGAGAGAAGGCTCCTTTGGTGCTGGCTCCTCCGCTGCCGCCTCGCCAAGCGTATCTCTTCTCACCGGAGCGGCGGGCGTCCCTTCGGGCACCCCCTTCTCCGGCCCCTCTTTCCCTTCGGCTCTCGGTGCGTGTGTTTTTTTTTTCTCCTTTTCCTGCTGTTTGCCTCTCCTTTCAACATGCGGCTGCTCATTGGCTTGCGCATCGCTTGTTTCCTCTCTGTTCCCCACCCCACCCTCCCTCTCTCGTTCTGACCGCGGTTCCCACATTGCACAGGCACTTCCCCGTCCTTCATGCTCCCAATGTCAGTGGCCGGATCCGGAATGCATGCCCCCAGCGCCAGCATCTCTCCTCTGTCGTCGATGTTTTCGACCGTCGGCTTGAGCGCTGCCGCCGAGCCGTACTATCACCATCCGGCTGTGGGCCATGATCCCACGGCTGGCTCGGCTCTGGGCCATGGCTTCCACCAAGCCCATGCGCACCACCACCACCACCACCACCACCCTTCTCACCACCCCCATGGCGCTGGTGGTGGCGGCAACGGCAGCGGCGCCGGCGCCGGCGACGGTGACAGCAGTGGCAGTAGCGGCAACAGTAGCCACAGTCTTGGTACTGTGGTCCATGCGTCTCCGCTGCTTGGTGGCTCCACTGGACACCATGCTCATCTGATGCCCAGCTTTGTCCACTCTGGTGGCGGTATGTGCTTCTTTCTAGCCTTCCTCCCTCTCTCCCCCCCCCTTTGCGGCTCTCCTTCTTGTGCCTCCTTAGCATGTGGTTGCCTCCTGCGCCCGTGGCTGCCGATGTGTTGCCCGTGCAACAATGTGGCCTGCCCTCTCCTTCTAACCCTCCGCCGTCTGTGTTTGTTTTCATCTTTCGGTGTTTCCCCCCCCCCCCCACCATGGCAACACCCTTAGCTCTTGGCACCAACGCCCTGTTCGCCTCGGGCGGTGGCAGCTCGGTGGCTGGGAGTGCCCCATCGACGACCGTGCCTGCTTCGTCACGTTTTGCTCTCGACACCAGTGTGGGAAATCTGGTCCCCCCGGCCAAGCTGGCCATCTCCCACGCCGGCAACGACTGAGCGTGTGTCGCATTTGACACCGAGAGAGAGAGCGAGAGAGAGAGAGAGAGAGCGAGAGATTAAGAGAAAGAGAGAGGGCTGGTATCTGGGCGTAAAAACCTCCCTGGGGTGGTGCACGCATCTTCCCAGAAAAAAAAATGTTTTATTAGCTTTTGTACAATTATTTCCTTCCCCCCCCCCCCTCCTATTGCACCGCGCACAGGCCAGACAAAGAGAGTGACCTCTCGCCGTGCGGTGGGATCTTCGCGCACAGCGGGTCCCCTCCCCTCTTTTCTTTTGATTCCTCGCTCCTCCTCCTCCCCCCCCTCCCCCCTCCCGCCTGCGCTTCAGGCTCTGTCTCCCTATTCCCCCCCCGGAAAGAGGACCAGATGCTCTTCCCAAAGAAGGGCAGGGCAAAAGGCTCCTTGTAGATTAATATTCCATCGAATACACACTTTCTTCTCGTCCCTCTCAATATGATATCCCGGCTGGGCTCGCATCGCGGAGCGGGAGAGGCCGTCCATGAAGAAAGGGACACAGGGGACTGTCCCCAGGAAAGGGGGTGGCGAAAGCCGGGCAAGGGCGCATCGAAGGTTTGTTTCTTTATTGTGGAAATGCCAATGGGCATATCGCCGCAGCAGCGGGGGAAGGCTATCCTCCGGGTGGCACGCACGCGCCCGTTGCGAGGTTCCCCCTCCGTCACGACTTTGTCGATGAGGTGGACAGGCGCTGACGGAGCTGCTGCAGCTCCTTATTGAGGAGGTCATTCTGTGCCACGGCACGTTGGAAGTTCTGGTGCGAGGCCCGGGGGGAGGAGGCGCCGAGGGCAAGGTACGTGTGTGAGTCGCATGCGTTTTTGAGAGGGTGGGGATGCGGGAAAATAGCCCCACCAAGACACGGAGGGTCTCTCTGTGGGCCGAAGGGGGGCGCACCGTTTCGGCTTCGATCTGCTGCTTGCGCGAGGCATTCAGCAGGTCTTGTGCCTGATACAGGCGATTGCGTAGATCGTCCACCTCCCCGGCCACGTCGGCCGTGGTGTCGGCATGGGCCCCGGCGACCGAGTCATCGAACTGTCGCAGGCGCTCGGAGAGCTCCATCACCCGCATCAGCAGAGACGAGCGCTGATCATGCAGGAAGCGAATCATGTCGGCCTGCCGGTCGACGATGCTGTCATCTGGCGCGGAGCTAGGCCCGGCGGTGGCAGCACTGCCGGTGCAAGGGTGGGTGGAGTGGGGGCAGGCCAGCGAGGCAGGGAGGGAGGGAGGCAGAGAGAGAGAGGGGGGGGGGGCAAAACGAGAGGAGATCCACGGTCAGAGGAGGCCGCGCGGCAAGCGGGCAGGGCAGGGCAGGGCAGGCAGGGGCAGGAGCAAGCAGCACGTACCCGGAGCCGGGGCCAACATTCTTCGACATGAAGGAGGGGAGCATCAAGTCAGCCGTGGCGTCAGGCGCCGCACGCTGGCGGCGGAACCACTCAGTCCGGACTGATGGCCGGAGGGGGGCGGCAGCGGCGACGGGGGTACCGGGTCAGGCAAGTCCACAGGTCAGAGCGGGGCCCCATGCTCAGAGGCACGTAGGAAAGAGGGGAGAAGGCATGATGGTGACATACACAAGAGGACCAGCAGGGCCACAACCGAAAGACCGGCCTCCGCCACGGTCAGCGCCCGGATATACACCATCGGCCACTCCTCCGACAGAAGAGCACCGATGGGCGAGGCAGTGGAGTCGGCGGCGGCGGCGGCTACCGTCGCAGCTACCAGGCTCCCAGCCTCTGGAGGCGGGGGGGTAGCCGACGGCGCCGGGACCGAAAAGGCATACAGAAGCAGGAGGCTGGCACAGCCAAAGGCATAGAGGATGGTCGGCACCCGGGAGAGGGCATTTGTCGAGCGGAAGAACCGGAGGTAGCCTGAAAACAATGTGGACATAAGTGTGTGTGTGTGTGTGTGTGCGTGTGTGTGTGTGTGTATGTGCGAGGATTGGGTCGACAGGGCCCGGGGAATGGCAGGTAAGTAGGGCGGCCAGGCAGATGCATCTGTTGCGACCAGGCCGAGAAAGGACGCACCCTGAGACCGGGCATTCCGGAAGAGGTAGCGATTGATCTGGTCGAGCAGGACCACCGCCAGGGTGATGATCAGCTGCAGGGCCACACGCGAGCGGAACAGCGCACTGTAGATGGTATCACCGGCGGAGGCCAGCACGCCGCTCGCAGCCTCCGGAATGTAGCCACCAATGTGCAGCGGGGCCGGGAACCAGGACTCCGGGTCGAAGGGCTCCACGAAGATGGCCGCAATATGGACCGACTGGCCGGGGGAGGGAGAGGGGGGGGGGAGGGAAAGGCACAGCGGCGCGTGAGAACGACAAGCAGGGCAGGGGGGAGAGGGAGGGGGGCATATCAATACCCAAAAGGGGGCCAGGCATGTGCTCGCACCAGGAGCGCCAGTTCCAGCAGGATGAAGATCATGTTCGGGATCGGGCTGAAGGGAGTCCCGTCATCGAACGTCACGTTGCCCGGCGTGCCGGATGGGTGCTGGTCGCGCCGCGTGCTTCCCATGACGCCATACAGCTGCTGAGTCGGCGGGGGGACATCCAACGACGAGGGGACCACGGGCGGCTTGGCGCTAAGCCAGGGGGAGGCGCCCGACGCTCCGGGGGCCTGGGAGGCGCCGGCGCCCGCGCCGGCACCCGTGCCCGAGAGACCCATCTGCGCGGGGCTCGTGTGGCTGTTGGCCAGGAGCCCGTCCATGTCACTGGACTCGTCATAGTCGGACCCGTCGGCCTGGTAGAGCGAAGAGTAGTAGGAGGACGGCAGGTGCGGGAGATAGCTGGGGTAGTTGCCCTCATGGCCCTGCACATCGCGGTGGCCGAGGACGGGAGGGAGCAGCAAGCAGGGGCCGGGTTAGAGGAGCATGGCCATGACCGTGCAAAGCAGCCGCCCGGCAAGACACAAGGGCGACCGGCCCAGTGGGAGAAATGGGAAAAAAGGGAATGCGCCCCGCCCCCC